CTACTGCCCTCAAACTCATGGTGATCTTCCTGTCTCAGCCTCCTGGGTGCTGAGATTACACGTATGTACCACCACACCTAGCTACAGTATATTCTTGTACTATTTGATTTTTTTTTCTGGTATTATGGATTAAACAGAAGGCCTTCACATTGAACTGTATCTCCAGCCGTTCCTATTTTAAGACAAGGGCTCACTAAATCCCTTAATTCCCCAGCCTGGATCTGAACTTGCAGTTCTCCTGCCTCAGCCTCAGCCTCCCAGGGTGCTAGGATTACCCAAGTGGATAGGACACACAGGCTTCTAGTTTTTAAAAACCATTTTAAAAATCCTATCCTTCCGGGCATAGTGGCACACGCCTGTAATCCCAGCACTCAGGAGGCTGAGACAAGAGGGTCGTTATGAGTTCGAGGCCAGTCTGTGCTACAAAGTGAGCTCAAGGCCAGTCTGAACTGCATAACGAGACCCTGTCTCAAAAAGACCAAAAAATAAAATAAATAAAAATCCTAGCCTGAGGAACTGAAGTGTTGCAGGAAGCCCAAATCCGGAGCGGTGACCCCAGACCGTGAATGGGGAGCTCCAGGCTGTTTGCTGGGCTCCATCAGGAGCGGCGCGGCCGGGCTGACCAGAGCTTGGGAGAAGGTGACCAAGGTGGAGTTAGGATCCCTGCCAGGGGCGCCAGGGGCTGGGGAGGACGAGGGTGGTGTCCACACTGGCCGCGCTGAAGCCAGGTACGGGGTAGACGGCGGGAGGAAGTGTGAGCGAGGGAGCCTCGAATGCCAGGCTGAGACTACAGCCCCGCAGGGTCACCTGGCCTCCTCTCGCCACGCCTCGCTGGGGGCCCGAAGAGCGCTCGTGATTGGCCCACGCGCCTGTCAGTCCGGCGGGAGGCCCGCCCCTCTCCACCCACAGGTGGAGGTCGTGGCTCCCCGTGTGGTTCCATCCCGCGATGGCGACCTTGCGCTCTGGATCCCGGAAGGGCAAGGTCAGGACCGCACCCCATGGACAGGGGCTACGGCCAACGAACCTCCGGGGATGCTGTGTTCCGGGGGACGCCGCGCACCCCACCCCTCCTGAGTCTCGCCCTCCCGGACACCTGCGCGGTTCAGAGCAGAGCCCTCCCTTGTGGAAAGTGACTGTCCGCGGGTTTCGGGCGCCGTGATCCTGCAGCCGGAGGACAGAGCGGGCCCGCCCCGGCGCCCGGGGCGCACCCAGGCGTGGGGACCCGGGAGGCATTGAGGTCCCAGCACGCCCGCCCGGACGACCTCAGCGCGAGGGCGGCGCGGGACGCCCTGTGCAGCCCTCATCCCGGTTCTGGAGTCTCAGGCGTCCTGCCCGCTGCCCGCGGGGCGAGAGGCTAAGCACGCATGCGCAGACCCGGCCCCGGCTCAGCCTCTTCCCACAGCTCGGGAGAGACCTGGACTTCGGCACCGCCACCGCCGCCGGGCGCCCCCAGGGGGGACAGACGGGCTCCCTGAGCCTTCAGCGGCGCTCAAGGTGGAGGCGTTTCCCCGGTGGGGGTCTTACGGGACCACTCAAAGTGGGTTCTCCCGGGAGGGCAGGCTCTCCCTCTTTTTTTTTTTTTTTTTTTTTTTTTTTG